GGAGTATTATCTGTTACATAAGTGAGTGTGTACAGTTGTAGGGAGTATTATCTAAGTGAGTTACAGTTGTAAGTATAGGTGAGTTGTTGTACAGTGTTATTATCTGTTAAGTGAGTTGTTGTACAGTTGTAGGGAGTATTATCTGTTACATAAGGGTGAGTTGTTGTACAGTTGTAAGTATTATCTGTTACATAAGTTGTAGTTGTGAGTTGTTGTACAGTTGTAGGGAGTATTATCTGTTACATAAGGGTGAGTTGTTGTACAGTTGTAGGGAGTATTATCTGTTACATAAATGTGAGTTGTGTACAGTTGTAGGGAGTATTATCTGTTAAGTTTGTGTAGTACTGGTGATTGTTACAGTTGTAGGAGTATTACTTATAAGTTTGTAGTTGTTGTTATCTGTTACATAAAAGTGATTTGTACAGTTGTAGGGAGTATTATCTGTTGTTTTTATTTGTCTATAACTCGCTGATTGACTGGAGCTTTTAACAGTTTTCTCTACTATTTGTGCTTCAGAAAGTGGTTAGCTCCACCGCGATGCTAACGACCCATTAACTGTTCACTAATGCACGTTCCAGCTCGGAGGGGCTCTGGCGGAGGATCCACACGCTCTAAGTGTTCCTCACATAAATCAATGTTTTGTTTTTCACTCTTTTCTCATTAGCGCACACAGCGTGACCACTCATGCTGTAATGTCAGGAAGTGTAATGTCTCAAACAGTGTTGGGGAGTAACAGATTACATGTACCGGCGTTATGTAATCAGAGTACAAATTATGAGTAACTGTATTCAGTTACAGCTACTGTTTCAGTGAGTTTGTTGAAATAAATGGATTACACAGCGGTATGTTCCTGTTTTCACATTTTGGGCTAAACCAGGACTAAACCCAGGATTAAAACCAGGACTAAACCAGGACTAAACTAGGACTAAACCAGGACTAAAACCAGGACTAAGACCAGAACTAAACCAGGTCTAAACAATATGACACCTAACATATTGCTTAGACCTGGTGGACATAACTGAAGACAGCAGTGATCTCATATATAAAGTATTTCAATAATATTTTTAATACAGTTAAGAAAAGTTTGGGCTTTTCTTTTCTTTTAGCAAACAAAACATCGTATGTTAAAATTTTGTATTTTAAAAGTATTTTAAAGTAATTTATAACACAGATATTTTGTTGTGATGCTTTGTAATGACTTTCAGTTGAAATTCAAGCACAGATTTTCTACTTACCACGTTATATCTCATGTTATTTTTTTCTCTCCACTCCATCCATCTGCTCCTGTCCGGCCCTTCCCTCAAATTTTAGAACCCTTTGTGGCCCCCGAGCCAAAAAGTTTGCCCAGCCCTGTTCTAACAGCTCACAGAGGCTGAAACAGGATCATCTGGGATTTGAACTAGAGCTGTCAAGTGATTAAAACAATTTTGAGATTAATTCGTTATGATCTGTAATTAATTGATCTAATTCATCTCTTTTTTTAATCTCACCTAAAAATTGCTGAGAAAAGCCTCAACTTGAGGTATTTTCATTTGAATTCATTATTACATTATTTTCATACTATCATTAATGTTTTTATATAAGTATCATCATTATTATTACTATTACTAATCTGCATAAATAAACTCAACTTTACAACATATAAACATCACCACTAGAGCCACATCAGCTGTTTGACATGTTAGAATGTGTTTAATGCAGCTTTGTGCAAGTCTCACAGAAACAAAACTTAAAACCACATGGCTCATTTGCATAAACTAAGCGGAGAAAAGAAAAAGAAAATGCTCTTGTGCTGATGCAGTTCAGCTTTTTTATACTAAAGGACATGACTCAGTGGAATATGAGTGTTCTTTCTGTGACAGAGGGATGTTGATGATGAAGGTGAGTCTGTTCTGTGTTTGTGTCGCGATGTTTTCAGATCAGACATGTTCAGGTTTATCACAGATGCGGTGAGAACGGAAATGAAAATTATATTTCTTTGTGGGAGTGAGCGGAGCAGGACTGCACAGTGTGACTGTGTCCTAACAACACATAAAAACAGATTTTATAATAAGGCAACTCGCACAGAAACAGTAAAGTTAGAGATTAAAAATGAGATTAACGCGATTAAAAAACATAACGCACTAAATATGACTGTAATTAATTAATCGCAATTAACACAATAATTTGACACCCCTAATTTGAACCCAGGTCCTACATGTGGAAGTACAGTTGAACTATCCTGCCTGTACTGTGCACTCCTGCCCGCTGCCAGCAGGGGGCATCACACACACACATCTAACCCAAGCATCTTCCAGAGTGTGATCCATTAGTGAACAATCAAAAGAAAATAATAGCGTCTTTCACATGAACTATATTCTTGTATTTCCCGAGCATCTGTGTTCTGTCTCTAATGGACTCCTGTCTCCAGAGAGTTTGACCTCTGTCTCCACGGCAACTGTGGAGTGGAGCTCCTAACACACATAATGTTAGCTTACATAAGGACGACAGCGGCTCTAAGACTCACTAACAGTCACTCAATAAAGCAATAAAAACAAACACGGCGATGGCATAAAGGCTATTCTGATCAGTTTAATGCCAGACTGTAAAACATTATCGGCAAAGCAATAACATCTCCATGGAGACAAGCGGGCACCGGACCCTGCACATGCTTTAAATGAACTGTACATTTCCTGTGATTTTACTGTTTAAAAAAGGGAATATAATCACAAGTGGATGTGGTTCCTGCTGTCTTCAGTGGGTTTTATTGTAACAAAAGCACAGATCACAGTGTTACCTGAAAAACCTATTTACTTCAAACTTATTGTGCTGTGTACAAGAGTGTGACGAGTACACCCTGACTGTCACACTGTCACTGTCACACTGTCCGCATGTGTATTTAAAAGTGACCTCTGCTGCTGTGTGACTCACTGCACCAGATGAAACTGAGGGGAGTAAATGTCTGAAGTGACGCAGGACAGTGACTCATGAAGCAAACACAAGAGCACAACATCAAAATCAACTGCTCGGTTTTGTAACAATTTATTTTAGATTTTTTCAGGAGATATGGAGATGGTTCCCACTGCTCCTGGCAGGCTGCTGCAGAGGCACTGATGGATAGATGGGTCAAATTAAAACCTCAAAATGTGCCTTAATCTTAACAAACTCCAAACCTCTTTTCAAAGCCCTCATTATATTTCTTTTGCCACGCGAGGCTGGACCTGGTCAGGACTTGGATGGGAGACCACATTAAATACAATTTAAATATAAAAATAAATAGGTGCCACAGTGAGACGCCAGTGGCAGAAACTGTAGTTGTGTCCTTAAGCAAGACACTTCCCCACTCACATTGTCTGGTATGCAGTGTTGGGGAGTAACAGATTACATGTACCGGAGTTACGTAATCAGAGTACAAATTATGAGTAACTGTATTCAGTTACAGTTACTGTTGCAGTGAGTGGTAATTGGATTACAGTTACTTTGTTGAAATAAATGGATTACACAGTGATATTTTCCTGTTTTCACATTTTGGGCTAAACCAGGACTAAACCAGGTCTAAACCAGGTTTTAACAGGACTAAACCAGGACTAAACCAGGTCTAAACCAGGTTTTAACAGGACTAAACAGGACTAAAACAGGATTTAACAGGTCTAAATCCTGCTGCGTGGACCGTGTCTCCTCCTCTTCTATTAATAATATGTTTATTTGGTTCAGTAAAGTCTGGGCTTTCTATTTTCTTTTATCAGACAAAACATCTTATGTTATGATTTCCTCGTCTTTGCTTCTCTACAGCAAATCAAGTAATCCAAAGTATTCAGATTACATTACTCACTTTAAGTAATTTAATGGATTACATTACAAACTACATTTTGGTGTGTGTAATCTGTAATCTGTAGGGGAATACATTTTAAAAGGAACCTTCCCAACACTGCTGGTATGAAAGTGGTGTGTGGTGCTTGTTGGAGGGGCCGATGGTGCAGATTGGCAGCCTCGCTTCTGTCAGTCTGCCCAGGGCGGCTGTGGCTACAGTAGTAGCTGTAGTAACATAATGATCCCTGGTGTCATAGATTATGACTACAGAGCAAACAAGAGCACACTGGCCATGTTTGTTTTTTTTTTTCAATTCCGAAATTGTTCTGAATTAAATAGTTCTGAATTAAAATATTCTCCTTCGAGTTTACATGGAAATAATAATTCTGAATTGAGGTTTACATGGAAAACACGTCAAATCTCCTTTATTTAATTCTGCTCAGTGTCTGGAGGTGGGAAAGGTTCTGATTGGACAGAGACACCAACATATTTACGTCGACCAGAAGAAAACACACATTTCAGTTGCCCCCAGATTTTCTGTCATCTCGGTTTGTCGTCGATCCAAACCTTTTCCACAATGGTTCCGATGATAATTGTGAAGCAGCAGCTGGAGAATTCTCTCATGACGCTTTACGTCTGTGAGCTGAGGAGGAGAAGGGAAGAGTGGCGGAGAAGGAGGAAGAAGACAAAGTGCGTGTGAGGCTGCTCTACCTCAGCCCACTCCCACATCCCGCTCACAAATCCAAAGAGACGTGGAGGAAAGTCAGGGTCACGTCAGAAGGGCGACACAACAAGCACGCACTGAACAACCAGAATTATTTTTAAGAAGAATAAATGTTTACATGATCCAGGAGTAAATGAGTTAGGCTTTAAAATCAGAATAAACCACCCGCTTACTTCGGTATTAATCATTTTCATTAGAAATTAAATGTTTACATGGTCTTTTAAAAGCAGAATTCATTTTTATTCAGAATTAAAGCTCTCATGTAAACGTGGCAAATATGTCTTCTTTAAGCAAATTGTGGCTCTTGTTTCACTCTTCCCACTCAGCTACAGATGGTGTTGTAATTTATTTATGTTTTCTTCCAATTTGCACTTATGTTGAAGCAGCCAATAATAATAATAAGAAGAAGAATAATAAGCTCTATGTTAGCCCAGCGTTGAGTTGTTGTGCTGTGACGTGAGCTGTAAGTGTGTTTTCTGTGTTTCAGACCATCCTGGTGGGCGACAGTGGAGTCGGGAAGACGTCTCTCTTGGTGCAGTTCGATCAGGGGAAGTTCATCCCCGGCTCCTTCTCCGCCACAGTGGGCATCGGCTTCACGGTGAGCGCCGGGGTGAAGTGAAGACTCTGTGAACAGTTTGATCCATGAGACAAGAACAACATTCTCAAAAATACATACTTTAATCTGAGTTTTAGCTGGACTACAACAGTTTTTAGTCACTCCCACCTTTTTTTTGTTTGTTTGTTTGTTTGTTTAAATAGGGCCATGAACACTTGTAAGTTTTTCAGACAGTCTTAATACTTTTATGGCTGTGTTTGTTAATGTGTGCATTGTGTCACCATGGTAACAGCTGGCTGTGATGTCACTGCAGTGTATGGGGTTCTGCTAGTGGTGGAGTTAGCAATTTGGGGGCCCTAGGGGAACTTGAGTTTGATACTATAATGCACAGTTTTGTTTTGTTTTTATAAATATATTTATTGTCTATTTTCCCCTTTTGTTCTGGAGACATGTACATCTCTGTTTATTTGAATTATGATGGATTGAATTTTAATATTAGTTTAGTCGCTTACTAGAAAACTAGCCCTGAAAGTAGTTTTGTTTTGTTTTTTTCCTAGTATAATTACACGTTTGTTTACATCCATTACATATATATATATATATATATATATATATATATATATATATATATATATATATATATATATATATATATATATATATATATATATATTTTATTTTTATTTATTTTTTTTTTTTTTTTGTGATTATTGTTTAAAAGTAAAACTACTCTCATTTAATGTCATATTGAGAGAAAATCAAATTGCTCTGAGGCCTCGACCATTAGTGGGACTGAGGGCAATTGATCAGGGGCCCCTCCAGATTTGGGGGCCCTAAGCAGCTGCCTACTTTTGCCTAATGATAGCGCCGCCTCTGGGATCTGCATGTATGTCTATGGAACAACAATGCATTTTACACATTATACAAATACCTAATCTTTTTTTTTTTTTTTTTTTCTTTTTAACCTGAAAACACAAGAAAAAATACAAAATGGATTTAAAGAGCACATTTTCAGGAGCCTGTGATCAGTCCGAGTTTTCATGGTCCTGTTTAGGAGTTTGATTTTCAACACAAAGATGAGAGTGACTAACCTGTTGTAGCTCCAACAGTTCCAACTCACTTCTTTGTGGTCAGGTTGGTTAAAACAAAGCTCAGGTTAAAGTTTAATTTGAGTAACAGAGCTTCAAACAGAGCAGTGCCTCTAGTTAACTTCACCTTCCTCAGAAAATGTTGATCAGCTGCAAAGTATCAGCAGTTTAAGGCAAGGCAAGTTTATTTGTATAGCACAGTTCGTACACAAAGTAATGCAAAGTGCTTTTTTTTGAGCCTGGATTTAAACAGCGTCACAGAAGAGTCTGTCTCACATGTTCAGGAAGACTGTTCCAGGTTTTAGCTGCATGAACCTGAAACTCTGACTCCCCTTGTTTAGTCGTGACTCTGGGCACCAGCAGGAGGCCGGTCCCTGAGCTCCTCAGAGTGTGAGATGGTTCATATGACACTAACATGTCACAGATGTACTTTGGTGCTCGGCCATGGAGAGACTTGTACAAGCAGAGCTGCTTTAAAGTCTCTGAGCCACAGGAGCCAGAGCAGAAACCTGAGCACAGGACTTATGTGCTCGTACTTCCTAGTTCGAGTCAGGACCCGAGCTGCATCGTTCTGGATGTTCTGCAGCGTCTCACAGCTCGTTTGGAGAGACCAGTGAGCAGAACATTACAGTATCTAACCTACTGGAGACAAACGCATGGATAAGTTTCTCCAAGTCTGATTTAGACAGTAAACCTTTGATTTTTGCTAAGTTTTTTAGATGGTAAAAGGCTGCAGATGTTATTGATTTGATGTGGCTGTTAAAGTTCAAGTCTGAGTCCATTATTACCCTGAGATTTCTTGCCTGATTTGAAGGTTTTAGAGAGAGAGACTGGAGGTGACTGCTGACACTGTCCCTTTGTTTCTGTGGACCAAACACTATGACTTCAGTCTTGTCAGAGTTTAGCTGGAGAAAGTTGTTTTGCATCCACACACTGATCTGTTGGATGCAGTGACCAAGTGAGTCCACTGGTCCATAGTCTCCTGCTGCCAGAGAGACGTAGATCTGAGTGTCATCTGCATAATTGTGGTAGGACATGTTATTGCTGCTTATTAACTGGCCTAATGGCAGCATGTAGAGAAACAGGTAGTCTTCATATTCTAGAACTGTAGGATGATTTGAGGGCAGGGATTTTATATATAACTCTATGGATCAGGTACCAAACCATATGTGACTAAGCATTTTATTGTTGTTGTACGCCGGCTATTCCGACATAACTTCATTACGACATGTCTCTATTTAGACATGCCAATTTTCCAACACTTTTTAGTATCACTTTTCTGACATGTTGTGTGTGTTTTGGGCTGTGAGAGTTTCATCTCATTGAGCTGGAGCAATGACCTTGACTGGTTATTTATTTAGTCTGTATGTTGTTCTCCGCAGATACATGACCAAATGAATGAAGCACAAAGGGCCCGTGCAGCCTCCGTTTAAGATTACATATTTTCCCGAGGCCTGACCTATGCACTTTTTCAAACGCATAACTGTTTCCCACGGTAATCAGTCAGGACTTTCCACCACTGCCGGATATCCTATGTGGCTCAAGTATTCTCTGAACTTACTGAAAGTACTTCTCTCAAGTGCTCAAGCATCTTATGATATATGAGAGCACAAAGTATAAAAAAGCAGAATATTTGAAAAATTATAAATTGCCACTTCTGCGACAGAGAAAAAAAAAATCAAAGTAGTAGATGCTTGAAAAATAATGTTTTTTTGTCATTTAAACGTCGTTGTCTAAATAGCGGCATGTGGGAACAGCAGCATATAACCTTATTTTGGTCTTTTTTCAGAATAAAGTGGTGACTGTGGACAACGTCAAAGTCAAACTCCAGGTCAGTGTCCAGTTCCCCTTATTACAGCAGATCTGTTCTACAAAATGGACTGCTCAGAGCTTTTAACTGTGTTATAGATTAGTGTGATTCATACATGTTTGAGTTTATTCTAATGTATTGAACACATCATAATTTGAAAATTCTTGTTTCCGCCAGTCCCCCATGCACCCCCACTGCTCTGTACTTTTCATATACTTTATTTTTTCTCATAATCAATGATACAGTAGAATAGTTATTTCTTATTATCATACTCAGACATGCATGAATGACTCTAAAACCTCTTCAGGCTTTTTTTTTTTAATGAACAATGTTATACATGGTAGAAGGTTATAATAATGGCTTTTACATAATACCTCCTGTTTAAAGCAGGAGCCTGTCTCATTTCGACCGTGTGTGTTTGTGTTTCAGATCTGGGACACTGCAGGACAGGAGCGCTTCAGGAGTGTCACACATGCATACTACAGAGACGCACACGGTGAGGACCACACACACACTGCTCTGTCTTTAATGTTCCTACAGAAGGACCATTCTGTCCTGGAGTGGAGGGTCAACATTTATCCTCAACTCATTTTCAAGACCTGTCCGTGTACCTTTTATCCAGGTCTCTTCTGTTTCCTGTACATGAGCACATACTCTGTGTCATGAGTCACACTTTGAGCTGATTGGAAGGAGGCATAAGTGACTCTGCTGTCATCAAACAGAATCCAGTCAAACAACCCTGAGTGCATCAGCACAGAGCACAGAACATAAGGGACTGACTGAACACATGCTCTGGGCTTCTGTGTGTGCACTGGAATGCCCCATTAAAGATGGAATGGAGACTTTGTCCAAACTCTTTTTCATCACATGTCTCTTGGCATCATATTCAAATCACAGCAGAGTCAGAATGAGGTATTCTTGCTCTGATATGATTTTTAAAGTCCTTTCTGCTCTTTGGAGGGAGCTACATCTTTTACAAGAGTAAGTATTACCTCCAAGAACTTCAGGTGCCAGGAAATAACTGATGAGATCGTGCTCAGAGGTGGCAGAGGCACAGAAGGCTAATGTCAAGTCTGTAAAGGGCTCTTCTTTCTCTGAGATGCTGTTACAGTGCATACAGAGGATCCTGGTGAGCAGCTTCCCACCAAAGCTCTTCTCTATTAAAGTTCTGTCATTGGCCTTTCTGTGGTCAGATTCCTGCAGGATCTTCTCCTTTTCATGCAGCTGGACTAGAAGAAACCTGAGTTTTGCCCTCTGAGTGTGTTCAAGAAAAGGAAACAGTAACTGAAGCTTTTTCATGAGCTTTTCTTAGCCACAGAGATTTAAAGACAAAACATGTCTCCTGAAATCAGTGGCCATAAAGAGGGTCTGCAGGATGCTGTTCATGTAGCAGGTAGTTCCAAGGTTCACCAGGCCCGTTTTGCCAGTTTTGCAAGTCAGAAAACTTCTGACCTGATCACATCTTCTCCAGGTTTTGGAAGATCCTTGATGGATTCAAGTATGTGAGTGTAAAGGTTTGGGAACTCAGAATAGCAGTGCATAATACAGTGCAACGATTTGTATTTTGAGCTCAGTTTTTATGATCAAACCATGAGATTTTAACCAACTAAGTGTGGCATGTGCAGTTCAAAGGACACAAGTAAGGGATTTTTTTGTAATGAGTTTTTCCCTTGTACATGGTGAAGGAGTTAAGGAGCTAAACTAGAGATAAACGACATTTGAGATGCTCCAGGCCACCGTCTGTCGCAAAAGACCTTTAGAGGAAATATTTTGAGGGAATGAACCATTTCATCACCAACTGAAACACCAAAGAGGCATGCAAGAGCACGGTCTTTCCTGTTGTGTTCACCTGGTTCCTCCTGGACTCTGCTGTGATGCTGCAAGACACACATGAGGGACACTTTTGGTTCTTCACAGGATCTGCTGACCCTCCCTGACCTGTCCTCCTGTCAAACTGATCCGAGACACACAGTAGAAATATTGCAGCCAAACTGCAGCAAAACTTGAATTTCACTCTGGATCAATAAAGTATCTCTCTCTCTCTGTCTCTCTCTGTCTCTCTCTGTCGATGGGGGAGTTGGATTTTTCTATAAAAACAGGATATTAAGTTCTGCGCAGAGGACATTCTATCTAACTGAAGTTCATAAAAGCTGGTCAATGCGCTTTTTGACTTAACAGGACATCCTGGGTTCAAGTCAGTGCCTTTCCGCAAGTGGGTCTCTTACGTAAACATTTCAAAACCAAGAAAACACTGAGAAAAACAGCTTGAGCACTCAATCTCGTGGTCTTCAGTCACACGCCTTATACGTTAGACCACACAGTCATGGGTGTCTTTTATTTCCTAACTTGTGAAGTAGCGGGATCATTTGTCAGAATGTTGTTCACAATACGCCAAGTGCCCAAATTTTACCTTTCTTTCATGGTTGGTTTAGAAAATGTAGGCGCTGTGGCTTAACTGGTCAAAGCACCTGTCTTATAAACAGGAGAACCTGGGTTCAAATCCCACCAGTGCCTTTTGACCTTCTATTATCATCTGTGAACATTCTAAAATTGGGATTGTACTGAGAGCCATCAAGGGAGTTCAATCTTCTGATCTCAAGTCAGACCACATATTGATGCCTAATCACGAGATGATTCCAATCGTCCCTCTTGTCTACTGAAGTCCATATAAGCTGGTCATTGTGCTTCTTGCCTCCACAGGACATCCTGGGTTCAAATCCCAGCAGTGCCTTTTCACATTCTGTTCTGTAAATATTCAAAAGCCAAGCATTATCAAGTAACCACAAACGGACTTGAACCCTCAGTCAGACGCCTTATCCATTAGGCCACGTGGTCATGTATGGAGTTTGTTTTCTAGATTGTGAAGGAGCAGGATAACTTATCTGACTTTTCTTTAGAAATGCCAAGTGCCCAGATTTTAGCTTCCTTTCATGGTCACATCTGAAAGTGTAGGCGCTGTGGCTTAGCTGGTCAAAGTGCCTGTCTCGTAAACAGGAGATTCTGGATTCAAATCCCAGCAGTGCCTTTCCACATTTGGGTCTCTTACGTAAACATTTCAGAACCAAGAATACACTGAAAAACCACGAAGCAGCTTGAGCACTCAATCCCATGGTCCGCAGTCAAGTGCCTTATAGGTTAGACCACACAGTCATGGCTGTCTTTTATTTCCTAACTTGTGAAGGAGCAGGATCATTTGTCTTAATGTCATTCACAAAACGCCAAGTGCCCAAATTTTACCTTTCTTTCATGGTTTAGAAAAATGTAGGCGCTGTGGCTTAGCTGGTTAAAGCACCTGTCTAGTAAACAGGAGATCCTGGGTTCAAATCCCAGCAGTGCCTTTACACCTTCTGTTGTTGTCTGTGAACATTCTAAAATTGAGGTTGTATTAAGGACCATCAAGGGATTCAAACGCTCAGTCTTCTGATCCCAAGTCTGACAGCATATTGATGCCTAATCTTGAAATGATTCAAATCTTCACTCTTGTGAACTGAAGTTCATAAAAGCTGGTCAATGTGCTTTTTGACTTAACAGGACATCCTGGGTTCAAGTCAGTGCCTTTCCGCAAGTGGGTCTCTTATGTAAACATTTCAAAACTAAGAATAACACTGAGAAAAGCAGCTTGAGCACTCAATCTCGTGGTCTTCAGTCACACGCCTTATACGTTAGACCACACAGTCATGGGTGTCTTTTATTTCCTAACTTGTGAAGTAGCAGGGATCATTTGTCTTAGAATGTTGTTCACAATAACGCCAAGTGCCCAAATTTTACCTTTCTTTCATGGTTAGTTAAAAAATGTAGGCGCTGTGGCTTAGCTGGTCAAAGCACCTGTCTTGTAAACAGGAGATCCTGGGTTCAAATCCCAGCAGTGCCTTTTGACCTTCTATTATCATCTGTGAACATTCTAAAATTGAGATTGTACTGAGAGCCATCAAGGGAGTTCAATCTTCTGATCTCAAGTCAGACCACATATTGATGCCTAATCACGAGATGATTCCAATCGTCCCTCCTGTCAACTGAAGTCCATATAAGCTGGTCATTGTGCTTCTTGCCTCCACAGGACATCCTGGGTTCAAATCCCAGCAGTGCCTTTTCACATTCTGTTCTGTAAATATTCAAAAGCCAAGCATTATCAAGTAACCACGAAGGGACTTGAACCCTCAATCTTCTGATCCGAAGTCAGACGCCTTATCCATTAGGCCACGTGGCCATGTTTGGAGTTTGTTTTGTAGATTGTGAAGGAGCAGGATAACTTATCTGACTGTTTTTTTAGATATGCCAAGTGCCCAGATTTTAGCTTCCTTTCATGGTCACATCTGAAAGTGTAGGCGCTGTGGCTTAGCTGGTCAAAGTGCCTGTCTCGTAAACAGGAGATCCTGGGTTCAAATCCCAGCAGTGCCTTTCCACATTCTGATATCTTCTTTAAATATTCTAAAAGCAAGCATGCACTGATAGCCACAAAAGGATTTGAACCCTTACTTTCCTTACCCAAAATCCATGTTATGTGGTCAAAACACCTGTCTACTTAAAAGGACATCCTGAGTTCAAATCCAAGCAGTGCCTTTTCACATTCTCTTTCTCTGTGGGTAACATCAAAACAATCAAACATAATCTGATTACCACAAAAGTGGGTCAAAGCCTGAATTCTTTTCACCTCAAGTCATATTCCATATGTATTAGACCACGTGGTCATTGAAGTGCTATAATGGTGTAATTTTTAATGTGCTGCATGATTTGAAAAACTGGACTGCGTTAACGTCGTAACCAATAACGGGTTTTCATCTGCGTGCATGTGCTTAAAATGCAAATGCAAGGCACTGTGGCTTAGCTGGTCAAAGCGCCTGTCTAGTAAACAGGAGATCCTGGGTTCAAGTCCCAGCAGTGCCTTTCCACCTTCTGTTCTTGTCTGTGAACATTCTAAAATTGAGGTTGTATTAATTACCATCAAGGGATTCAAACGCTCAGTCTTCTGATCCCAAGTCTGACAGCATATTGATGCCTAATCATGAAATGATTCACATCCTCACTCTTGTGAACTGAAGTTCATAAAAGCTGGTCAATGTGCTTTTTGACTTAACAGGACATCCTGGGTTCAAGTCAGTGCCTTTCCGCAAGTGGGTCTCTTATGTAAACATTTCAAAACTAAGAAAACACTGAGAAAAGCAGCTTGAGCACTCAATCGCATGGTCCGCAGTCAAGTGCATTATAGGTTAGACCACACAGTCATGGCTGTCTTTTATTTCCTAACTTGTGAAGGAGCAGGATCGTTTGTCTTAATGTCATTCACAAAACGCCAAGTGCCCAAATTTTACCCTTTCTTTCATGGTTAGTTTAAAAAATGTAGGCGCTGTGGCTTAGCTGGTCAAAGCACCTGTCTTGTAAACAGGAGATCCTGGGTTCAAATCCCAGCAGTGCCTTTTGACCTTCTATTATCATCTGTGAACATTCTAAAATTGAGATTGTACTGAGAGCCATCAAGCAATCTTCTGATCTCAAGTCAGACCACATATTGATGCCTAATCACAAGATGATTCCAATCGTCCCTCCTGTCAACTGAAGTCCATATAAGCTGGTCATTGTGCTTCTTGCCTCCACAGGACATCCTGGGTTCAAATCCCAGCAGTGCCTTTTCACATTCTGTTCTGTAAATATTCAAAAGCCAAGCATTATCAAGTAACCACGAAGGGACTTGAACCCTCAATCTTCTGATCCGAAGTCAGACGCCTTATCCATTAGGCCACGTGGCCATGGTTGGAGTTTGTTTTGTAGATTGTGAAGGAGCAGGATAACTTATCTGACTGTTTTTTTAGATATGCCAAGTGCCCAGATTTTAGCTTCCTTTCATGGTCACATCTGAAAGTGTAGGCGCTGTGGCTTAGCTGGTCAAAGTGCCTGTCTCGTAAACAGGAGATCCTGGGTTCAAATCCCAGCAGTGCCTTTCCACATTTGGGTCTCTTACGTAAACATTTCATTTTTATTGCAGACTTAGCAATATGATAATTGTGCCAACTGAATTTAAACAATTCTTGTTATGAGTGGTTGAATCTCCACAGACACAACCTGTAAATTGGCCTGGTAGCTCTGCGTATTTAGAAGTGTTAATGGAGACTGACAAGTCTAATGAACTAAAGTGGAACATTCTAGACAAAGCAGTGACATCTCCATGGAAACAAGCACATGGCTGACCCTCCAGTAGAAAAGTGACACAGTGCTCACTGAATATGAATGTGACTGTTTTGCATTTGTGTGCACAGCTCTGCTTCTGCTCTACGACATCACCAGCAAATCCTCCTTTGACAACATCCGAGTGAGTACACAGAACTCTTCATTCAGGACTGTCACGTCAAAATACTATTACTCAAGTAGAAGTACAAAATAGGACAGACACAAACATGAGACAAACTAAATCAGATCTGCATATCTGAAGGAGCTGCAAGAAACACAAATGTTCACATCGTTTCATATTGTCACATCAATATTTTGTCATTTTAGACTCACTCACAGATGCCAGAGTAACCAAAACTTTTACTCAAGAGTACTGTTACACTGTACTACGTGTTAGTCAAGTAGAACAAAAACTATGACTATAAATAAAGGTATTTGTGACAAGACTGTTTAAAATTCATTCACATTTTAAACATGTCCAAAAGAAAAGGACTGAAATCAGAACTGACAAACTAATGCAAGAATTTCAGAACATGTTTGTACAGATCTAAACTACAGGGTTAGTGGTTTTTATGAAGAATAACACAGGAGATTTTGGACTTTGTGGAGAAAATTATTATATTTTACAATTGTAGTCATTGTGATTTGCCAAATGTGTCCATCAAATTGTGATTGTGATTTGATTGAGATTCATTTTGCAGCCCTAGAAGACACATTACATCACAGAGCGTACGGAGTAAGAACTTTCAGAAATATTTGTGTGCAGTAGGATAGAACTCCATGCATATTTGGGAAATCCGTGCATATTTTGCTGTAGTTAGCTCTGGTTCAGTCCTGGTTCAGTCCTGGTTCAGTCCTGGTTCAGTCCTGGTTCAGTCCGTATGCAGCACAAAAGTCCAGCATCTCGATTGATGTTTCTTTGGCTCAATAAATAATGCCTGTGAAGTGATGATTTTAACTTCTTGGGGTTTTTTTAAAGACAATGCAGTAAAGTGTATTTACCTTGTTGACATGTTTCGGCTGCTGCATCTTCAGATCTGTCCCCGGTGTTGGTGGTGATGTGTCGTATATCAGCTGTTGTTACTTCCTGTAGGCGTGGTCAGCCTGATGGACCTGGCAGGTCGCTGAGACTGACCACGCCTCCCGTCGCCCGATGTTCTCTGGAGGAGGGTGTCCCAGGTGTGAGAAAGGAAGAACACTCTGTCATCACTGATCATCATTTCCACTGTTATTTGTGGAAATAATCACATTCTGGATTGGGACGGGGCTCGGGATCAGAAAACAACAAGTTCAAACGCTGGATCAGGGAGGACAGTGAAATCAGGAAACAAGGCATGGACACTTGGACAGCATTAACCATGATGACGCACATTCCTCCATTCTCACACCTGGGACACCCTCCTCCAGAGAACATCGGGCGACAGGAGGCGTGGTCAGTCTGAGAGACCTGCCAGGACCATCAGGCTGACCACGCCTACAGGAAGTAACAACAGCTGATATACGACACGTCACCACCAACACCGAGGACAGTTCTGAAGATGCAGCAGGAGCAGAAACATGTCAACAAGGTCAATACATTTTACTGTATTGTCTTTAAAAAGAACCTAAGAAGATTAAGTATTTTAGAAGACAATATGAACATCATTGCCTGTGAAGTGATGATGTATTTTTGACAGTCGAGTCGCGCCTGTGAATTCATATTTGTACTGAAGAAAGTGTAATTGTAATTTCTTTTTCGTGATTGTAATTCTTGATGTCGTAACTTTTCAGTTCATATTCTGATGGATAAAATACACACAGCACATTTTATATACGACTGGACTCATTCGAGAGTTTACAGATATTTATTTTATTCTCAACTACAGACAAATATGCACTGATTTCCCAAATATGCACACAAATATTTCTGAAAGCTTTCTTACTCCAGAAGAGAGCCCATTTTGCTTTATTACAAACTGGTTTTAGTTGTAGGATCTGACAACTCCAAGTGGGAAGCACCAAAAAAAGACTATAAACATGATTAACTTTGAACATGAATGACTTTGACATGCTCTGAACAATTTTTTTTTTCTGCTGTGTTCCAGGCCTGGCTCACAGAGATCCATGAGTACGCACAGAGTGATGTCGTCATCATGTTGCTAGGTAACAAGGTGAGAGTGGGAAGCAGGAAGTCCACACTAAAGCAGCAGCAGGAGTCAACTTTAAACAGCTCACAGCATCACCACATAAGCCCCCCACTGAGACCCCCACAGAGCCCCCACAGAGCCCCCCGAGCCCCCGCTGCCTGTGTTATACAACAATTAAATTCATTTCAGTTAAATTTAAAATTCAATTATCCTCTGCAGTGTTAAAGGTGCACCATGTTACTTTTTCTGTTACAGAGTTTGTCACCTGCTTGTCTCTGTGAAGATGTTATTGCTTTGTCTAGAATGTTCCACAGTATGGTATTAAAGTTGGGTTATCTCACCTGTTTAATGCCACACTGTGGAACATCCAGACAAAGTAATACATCTCCATGGCAGCTGTTTACATAGTGCACCACTGAATCTCCATCTATCTACTACCTGGTCCTGGTTTAGTCCCATTTCAGTCCTGGTTCAGTTCTGGTTTAGTCCTGGTTTAGTCCTAGTTTAATCCTGGTTTAATCCTAGTTTAGTCTTGTTTTTTTTTTCCTTGTTTAGTCCTGCCTTAGTCCCAATTTTGTCCTGTTTTAGTGCTGGTTTAGTCTTGTTTTTTCTTGGTTCAGTCCTGTTTTTTTTCCTGCTTTAGTCCTGGTTTTGTCCTAGTTTATTCTGTTTTGGTTTTTTTGTTTGTTTGTTTGTTTGTTTTTTTTTTTTGTTTTTTTCCTAGTTAGTCCTTGTTTAGTCCTAGTTTAGTCTTGGTTTTGTTCTGGTTTAGTCCTGGATCAGTCCTAATTTAGTCCTGGTTTAATCCTAGTTTAGTCTTGTTTTTTTTTCCTTGTTTAGTCCTGCCTTAGTCCCAATTTTGTCCTGGTTTAATCCTAGTTTAGTCCTGGTTTGTCCTGGTTTAGTCCTAGTTTAGTCTTGGTTTTTTCTTGGTTCAGTCCTGTTTTTTTCCTGCTTTAGTCCTGGTTTTGTCCTAGTTTATTCTTTTTTTTTTTTTTTTTTTTTTTAATGTTTTTTTTTCCTAGTTAGTCCTTGTTTAGTCTTGGTTTAGTCTTGGTTTAGTCTTGGTTTTGTCCTGGTTTTGTCCTAGTTTACCCCTGGTTTAGTCCTAGTTTAGCCTTGTTTTTTTTCCTGGTTCAGTCCTGCTTTAGTCCTGGTTTAGTCTTGTTTTTGACTTGGTTTAGTCCTGGTTTAGTCTTGGATTAGTCCTGCTTTAGTTCTGCATTAGTCTCAGTCCTGGTTTTGTTCACACTTGTGCAAAAATCTTTGAAATCCTCATCATTCCTAAACTTGCTGCAGTACTCACATATAACAGTAGAGGGCGCTGTTTATCTAGTAGCAGAAGTCTGTATGTGACAGTATGTGGGTTTCTTATATAGTTTTTTGTTTTTCTTTTTTGTCCTTGTCATTTTCAGGCGGACATGAACAGTGAGCGAGCCATCAGGAGAGAGGAGGGGGAGAGACTAGCCAGGGTAAGAATCTGTGTGCTCAAATGTTCTACTTAAATATCACCACATTATACTTTCTGATTCAGTAATATGTGTTGTGTGTATGCATGTGTGTGCACAGGAATACTCTGTACCTTTCATGGAGACCAGTGCCAAGACCGGAGTCAACGTAGAACTGGCTTTTACTGCAGTGGCCAAGTAAGTACGACTTATATATGACAAAGTTAACTGAACTGTGTGTGTCCTGCACTTTTACTGTTTTAAAAAGTTACTACAGTTACAGCTTAACCTGGGATGTCAGAGCCTTAAGCTGCAGACAGAAGACACACATACATATATTTATACTACCAGTCAAAAGTTTGAATACACCCTCTTATTTTTGTTTACTACTTTCTATATTTTATATACGCAAACACATCAAATATGAGAAGCAAGATATATGGAATTATCTGAGCTGCAGAGGCTGCACTAGCACTGACTCATGACTGGTGTGGGGGTTTAGGTAGTGGCCATTCAGGGCCTACTTTTGTGTCTATGCATAAAGGGAGCAAAAATAAACTAAAAAGAAATATTATAACTCATATCTGTTCCTCACAGTCGCAGTTTCTTTGTACTGGAGAAAAAGATGTAAAGGTGTTTGATTTGAATGGTTGGATGTTCTACACGTTCTTATTATAAATTGTAACTTTCAACATTTAAAATGACCCAAGAAAGAGGAGCTGGTGCGGGACACTGCAAATGTTAATGTACTGTAGATTTAAATAAACAAACATGCACCAAAGGTCAAATCCTGCACCTAAGGCAGTCCTGACCGAGCCAGGCTGGCACCACCTAGTGCCTCCGCTCAAGTTCATTTCTCTCCAGCTCAGCTCAGGAATCAGAATACACTAGACCAGGGTGTCCAAACTTTTTTCGTCAAGGGCCACATTTCTAAACACAGATGAAGCAGAGGGCCGATCGAGGACCGTAGACTGGTGCTCAAGGGAATAATTGAAATATGTGCCTGTTTATCATGTTAGAATGAGCATCAGTCTTTATTCATGCTAAAATCAAACTACACACGAAATATAAATATTTGCTTTATCAAGGTAGATTTTCAAAAACTTGCAGCAAAAAATTACTTTTAATTGATGCAAGGTCATTTGGGCCAATTTACCTGGAAGCCTGAGGGCCAAGAAAAATGTGTCAGGGCGCATTTGGCCCCGGGCCATAGTTTGGACATGCCTGCACTAGACGATTTGTAAGAACCCCGGAAGTGCAAGTTCGGGCACCAGCCAATCAGCGAAGAGTCATATATTCAGTGCTGTCAACGATTCCTGAGATCGAGGATTTAAAGCCGGAACAAAGACAATGTTTGGTGAATTTCATCAAGGGGAAAGACGTTATTGTCCTTCTTCCTACAGGATTTAGGAAAAGCTTAATATACCAGTTATCCCCATTCAGTGTCAGGGAGTAACAGATTACATGTACCGAAGTTACGTAATCAGAGTACAAATTATGAGTAACTGTATTCGGTTACAGTTACTGTTTCTGTGAGTGGTAATTGGATTACAGTTACTTGGTTTAAATAAATGGATTACATGGCGGTATTTTCCTGTTTTCACATTTCGGGGTATTCCCTTTCTTTTTTTTTCTTTTTTTTGGTAATTCCACTCATTGCCGGACACTAAACCAGGCCTAAACCCAGGTCCAAACCAGGACTAAAGCAGGACTAAAACCAAGTCCAAACCAGGTCTAAACCAAGTCTAAACCAAGTCTAAACCAGGTCTAAACCAGGTCTAAACCCAGGTCCAAACCATTTCTAAACCAGGTCTAAAACCAGGTCTAAACCAGGACTAAACCAGGTCTAAACCAGGACTAAACCAGGACTAAAACCAGGTGCAAACTAGGTCTAAACCAGGACTAAACCATGCTGCATGGACCGTGTCTCCTTCTCTTCTATCAATAATATTTTTAATATGGTTAAGTAAAGACTGGGCTGTTTTATTGTCTTTTAGCAGACTTATGTGAAGATTTCCTCGTCTTTGCTTCTCTACAGCAAACCAAGTAATCCAAAGTATTCAGATTACATTACTCACTTTAAGTAATGTAATGGATTACGTTACAAACTACATTTTGGGGTATGTAATCTGTACTCTGTAGGGGAATACATTTTAAAAGTAACCTTCCCAACTCTGTCCCCGTTAGCGGCGCATTACATACGTCACGACCAAATAGCAGCGAGTGGTTAAATGATTATAAGTACCTGCCTACCGTCAAGCGAACAAAATCTAAGGCTGCGAGGTTACATGGTTTGTACGAAGTGAAACAAAGTAAAACTGGTTGATGAATCAGGCTAGTCGTGACCAGGTGAGAGGACACATTTCTCTGTGGGGACAATAGAGACTCAACCTAACCTATCCTTTGAGCTTAGTTATATAAACAGTAAATCTTTCTTCATAGAGTGATACAGATTTCTGCTTTCCATCTGAAATAACATCCACACAGTGAGTGCGTATACATGCACATCAATAACCCGGTTATTAGTCATATCCCGGTTCTGTCAGTATTGGGGTTACTGCGTATACATGTGCACTGAGAAACCGGGACACTCATATCTGCGTGTACATGATCAAATGGAATATATAGTTTCTTAACATAATCTTGCAAATGTGCAAGCGCAAAAATTAACGTAAATTAATTTCATAAACCAGGAAAAATACAAACCGTGAGCTCCTTTAGCATAAGAAGCTAAGGAGCTACGAGATCTCCCACAATCCACTGTGCAGATTCTTCATTAAAATCGTCTGCATAAATACTGCATAAAAACTCAACTTTACAACATATAAACCATAACCACTATAGAGCCACATCAGCCCGTTTGATCAGATAATTCAGCTTTGATCACATTTGTTTACATTTTACAGAAACGAAACTTAAGACCACATCGCTAATTAGCATAAACTGTTAGCGGTGATAAAAACGGCTGCTCTTTGTGCCGCTGATGTGATCAGCTTCTTTTTGACTAAATGATACGACTCAGTGGATTATGTGTGTTCTTTTTGTGACAGAAGAGGTGCTGATGATGGTGAGTCTGTTCTGTGCGTGTACAGTAAAGGAGATAGTTCATGTTTTAGCTTTTCAGCGATCACACGAGTGCAGATTGTACATGTGCAGGTTTAGTGCAGCTCTTAATTTTACAGTCAGTTTACTCGTGTGGTCACTTTATTTATGTTGGCCAATTTATTTATGTTGTTACTGTTGTGGTGAAAAGACTGGAAAGTGTCTTTTGGACGCATGCGCACTCAACTTTATGTTGCAGTAACTGGGATACTGCGTTTACATGCCACAATATCCCAGTTACTATCGGAATAAACCAGCTACAGTAACCCGGTTTCTAATAACCGGGATACTGCCATAAGCGAGATACTGAAACCGGGTTACTGCGTATACATGCACCATGAAGAAACCGGGATACTCAAAAAACCCGATCATAACCGGGTTATTGATGTGCATGTATACACACTCATTGTACAATGAACACCCCCTAAAGATTCTGTGCTGTTTTTAGAGAACTGAAGAGCCGGTCCATCCAGCACCCCAGTGAGCCCAAGTTCAAGATCCACGAGTACATCGAAGCCCAGAAGGAGAAGTCAGGCTGCTGCGGACTCTTCTGAACGCCGGCCCTTTGAGAGGTCGATTTACCGCACTCTAAGTGAAGGAACCGACCCACAGACTGAGAACCGTCATCTACAAGCCCAACACGGAACCAGACCAGGCTACTTACTCAAACGAACGAACGAAATAGGCCTTTTCTGGGAGCCATGGGAGAAGTTTGAAGTTCGGTTCCTGTTTGGTATTTTGTTTTATCTATTCAGTTCAGTAACTCCTTGATCTTGGGGGACGACTGTGCTCTCCTTTATTAAGAGTCTTACCAAGCTGCTGTTTGTTAAAGGGCCCATATTACACGATTTTCTGATCCATGTTCTAATGTTGCTCCTCATCACAAACAGACCTGGAGTTGTGATTTGTTTCATTCACACATGTTTAACACACGAACCCTGCACATTTACACTGAGTTCTTCTCTCATTTTCATTTGGTCTTCTGATAATTTATGTTATTAGGTTCTTTTTTCAGACCAAGAGTGTCAACAAACTCTACGTTGTAAGAACATTATTCGACAAAACCATCATTATAACAGATGAACAAGACAAACAGGAGGAAGACAGACACATCCACAACACTCGGAAGCAACGCCAGTACACAAAACAGGTCAGAGTGAAAGACCCGTAACCAGAAAAACAGAAATAAAATTGAAAATAAGAAGCATGGTGACATTACCATACATAAGGGGCATAACAGAAAAACTGCAGAAAAAACACAACATGAACACACAAGTGAAACTGTACAGAAAACTCAGGCAAATACTCGTCCACCCAAAAGAGAAAATCAAACCAGAGCATAAATATAATGTCATATACAAAACACCTGCAATAAAACAGACATCGGAGAAACAGGTAGGGGGTTCAGTCTATGGCAGGCATGTCCAAACTATGGTCTGTGGGCCAAATGCGGCACTCAGACAAATTTTTCTTGGCCCTCAGGCTTCCAGGTGAATTGGCCCAAATTGCCTTGCATCAATGAAAAATTAACTTTTTACTGCAAGCTTTTTGAAAACCTACCTTGATAAAGTGAATATTGAATATTTAGTGTGTGGTTTTAATGATCTTAGCATGAATAAAGACTGATGGCTCATTCTAACGTGTTAAACATGCACAGATTTCAGTTATTCACTGTACTGAGCTCCAGTTTATGACCCTCGATCGACCCTCTGCTTGGTCTGTGTTTAGATATGTGGCCCTTGATGAAAAAAGTTTGGACACCCCTGGTCTATGACAAAAGGAACATAAGACAGAGTGCGAGAAGGAAACAGCGAAGACGAAACACAAGCAACAAAACACAAAGCAGAACAAGAACAACTCAAATCAGCCGTTTCTGAACACTGTAAAAGAGAGAAGCACATTCTGGACTGAGACGGAGCGAACATCACTAGAACAGAGGACTCAAACATTGTCGCTGGATTAAAGGTTGTATGGAGGATTTTTTTTTTGTTTTGTTTCAAATTGTCAGTGAAAGTTCAAAATAGAATTATAAAGATGCAGCAGCTTTGTAATTATGACGACCAAAAAAAAGAAAAAGAATGAAAATCCATCAACTGTGGGCATGGTGGGGACAAATAAACATCAGCCAATAGATAACAAGGCTACGTCTTTATCTATTGGCTGTCAGGTTGTCAATCAAACTCCTTTTGACTGACTTGCCGGCGCTCTGGGATTACGTGGTTTACATTCGCCTCTCACGCACTGACGCCGTTTACTCAACCGACACAGCGGTTCTTAGCGTCTTTTTGGAACTGTAGCCTCCTCTCAGTTTGCACAAAGTTTGTTGTAATGGCAGAAAGTCTGTTTTTGATGTCACTGAAAGAAGAAGGGAAGGGCAAAAGGAGCGAAACACAACACTTGAAAAAGGACAAACAGTCGCTGCATTTCTCTTTCCTGGAAAATCTTCTATACAACCTTTAAAGACGCAATCTAAATACAGAAACGTGCCCACGGGACGATAAACCGGGACGAGGGGCTTTTTTATTCTCACACACCTGGGATACTGTTTTGATGAAGCAGAACTGCAGGTAAACTGTTTAAATCAGCTGAGTGACGTCACAGCAACATCACGAAACTCTGAGGAGGACCGCAAGAGCAGAACAAACTGTCAGGGATGAAAACAAACTTTTGGTCTGATAAAAGAACCTAATAACATAAAGAGAAAACACTGTTCCACTTTGAGGTGTCATGTGGTAACACAGAAAGTGCTCCAGTGTGTTTTTAAACTCCGTACATCTTCACTAGAACCATTTGGATTATTTTAAATATTGTTAATCTTGACTGAACTAAAAGTAAAAAGAGCTGACAAGTTTATTTGTACATCACAATTCGTACACAAAGTAATTCAAAGTGCTTTATAGAATAAGAAATACATTAAAATCAATAAAAACAAATCAAAACATAAATAATCATGAAGATTAAAATTTAATTAAAAAGAGAGACATAAATTAAAGAGAAGAGTGAATGAAAACCTTTCAGTTATATGCACAGTCAAACAGAACCGTTTTGAGCCTGGATTTAAACAGAGTCAAAGTTGAGTCTGTGTCACATGTTCAGACTGTTCCAGGTTTTAGCTGCATGAACCTGAAACGCTCTTGTTTAGTCGTGACTCTGGGCACCAGCAGGAGGCTGGTCCCTGAGCTCCTCAGAGTGTGAGATGGTTCATATGACACTAACATGTCACAGATGGACTTTGGTGCTCGACCATGGAGACACTTGTTCAGTGCAGAGACCTGAGCACAGGACCTATGTACTCATACTTCCTAGTTCGAGTCATGACCCGAGCTGCAGCATTCTGGATGTTCTGGATGTTCTGCAACGTCTCACAGCTCGTTTGGAGAGACCAGTGAGCAGAACATTACAGTATCTAACCTACTGGAGACAAACGCATGGATAAGTTTCTCCAACTCTGATTTAGACAGTAAACCTTTGATTTTTGCGATGTTTTTTAGATGGTAAAAGGCTGCAGATGTTATTGATTTGATGTGGTTTTTAAAGTTCAAGTCTGAGTCCATTATTACCCCGAGATTTCTTGCCTGATTTGAAGGTTTTAGAGAGAGAGACTGGAGGTGACTGCTGACACTGTCCCTTTGTTTCTGTGGACCAAACACTATGACTTCAGTCTTGTCAGAGTTTAGCTGGAGAAAGTTGTTTTGCGTCCACACACTGATCTGTTGGATGCAGTGACAAAGTGAGTCCACTGGTCCAGAGTCTCCTGCTGCAAAATTGTGGTAGGACACATTATTGCTGCTTATTAACTGGCCTGTAGGGGGCAGCATGTAGAGATTGAACAAAAGAGGGCCCAGGATTGACCCCTGGGGCACCCCACAGGTCAGGGTCATGTGATCTGAGACACAGTTTCCAATTTCAACAAAATACTTCCTGTCTTCTAGATAGGACTTGAACCTGATGAATTAACTAAAACTACCGCTTCATGACACGACGTAAACAACCTAATACTTCAGTACTATTCAAACATGTGTGAAGGAAACAAAACACAACTCCAGGTCTGTTTTTGAGGAGATAATGATATTCTAACATGGCTTAAAGTACATTTCGGGTAATATAGAGGCTTTGCACCGTCACGTGACCCCTATAGCAGCGGTACCTACACCGCCATGACACCGGGCAACACTATGTCATTGCCTTCAGCAGCATCGGAGAAACTTGGGCAGGTTTTGTTGTGTATTTGGTTGTTATAGACACTATGAAAGGGATAAAACGAATCGTTTCTTCACTGTTCCTCTGGAAATGACTCATCAGGATCAAACAAGGGAATTATCGAAAAAAAGATGCGGATTATAGCTAGCAAAAATAAACCATGAAGAGATTTCCTATGGTACCATCAAGACACCCGAAGCTTCATCAAGGTATTTGCTATTTAAATTGTTTCATAGTTTATTTAATGAAAGAAGCACATTTACTGAACTAAAATTTCATTAATTTATCCAGGAAAACCCGCACTAGTTTACGATTCAACGAACCCACACTGGGCTCCTGTGATCAACATGACGCACGAGTCGAAGAGTCTGTGAGTCGAACCTCGAAAGAATCGACCATGAAAAGATCCTCACGAGCGTTAGAAAGATCCGCTCACAAAAAACGATTAATTCTAGAAGACATAGTTGTGGATAAACAAGACAATAAAGAAAACATGGATCCTACAATGAGTGACATGTTTATATGTGCGCTGGAAGATACAGTTTCTACTGCCACTCACACTGCAAATGTTTTCTTTTTACATTTTAGTTCAGTAAATGTGCTTCTCTCATTAAATAAGCTATGAAACTATTTAAATAGCAAATACCTTGATGAAAGTGACGTGAGTGTGTCTTGATGGGACCATTGGAAATCTCTTCGCGGTTTATGTTCTCTAGCCATAATTCCTTTTTTTTTCCCGATAATTCCCTTGTTTGAGCTCCTGATGAGTAATTTCCAGAGGAATAGTGAAGAAACGAATCGTTTTATCCTGTTCAGAGCGTCTAGAACAACCAAATACACAACAAAACCTGCCCATGTTTCTCCGATGCTACTGAAGTCAATGACATAGTGTGCCCGGTGTCATGGCTGCGTAGGTACCGTTGCTATAGGGGTCACGTGACGGTGCAAAGCCTCGATAGGACCTTTAACGTTGGTGTACATGGAATAGATGTATAAAGCTACATTTTCGCTCACAAAAACCCTGAGATCAACAGAAGTGGAGTCAGCTCCTCACACACTACACTGTGCCCTGTCGCTGTGCTGCTGCAAATATCAGTATTAAGCTAAAAACGTTTAAATTCTAAACTTTATTCGAACACTTGCCTTATCAGATTTTCATGCGTGAGGTTTGAGGAGACGATGTGCAGGACGTGTCAGTGTGGAAACTATCGGCTGCAGATGTTCTATTTTGGTGTTTGCTGTATTTTTGAAGCTGTTGCAGGTCATATTTTAATACTTTAAGGTGCACTATGTTATGTTTTGGTTGGCAGTCCATCTGGAATGTTCCATAGTGTGACATTAAACAGCTCTACTTCACATTTATTCAATTACAGATGGTTTTATAGCTCAAATATATCAAGAAAAACAGACATTTTGAGTCATATCTCCACGGACCTGACCTGTAACTTGTTCTGGTTTGGTCTCCATGAAGTTAGAAAGGTTTAATGCCACACTGTGAAACATTCCAGACAAAACATCTCCATAGATTTGACGGACCCTCCACCAGAAAAGTTACGCAATGCACCTTTAATCTTAATAAAGCATGAACAAGGTCTTTATTTATAATGAAGACCTTGAGTTCTTTAAAGCCCCAGTATGTAACTTTTTAGCCAAAACATAGATGAAAATAATATAATTTACGTTTTTTGGTTGTGTTTATTGCACTAAAAAGCGTGTATTTATTCTGAGTGGGCTTGCATCTCCACAAACCTGACTCGTCCCTTGGCTGTAATTGTCCATATTAAAACTTCTCTGTCTCTATGGAGAATGTTCCAAAGTCCGGCTTTAGCTTTCTATTTCCGTGGAATCATGCAGGCGAAGTGCCACCTCCCAAAAGTTACACACTGTGCTTTTAACAACGATTCAGTCTACTTAATTACTACTTAATTAATACTCTAACCTTTAAATTAAGTAGTCATTGAACCTTGAGCCTCATGCTTTATTAAAGAGCTTGTATTACACTATTTCTGATCTATGTTATAATGTTTCCTCATCACAAACAAACTTGGAAGTGTGTTTTGTTCCATTCACACATGTTTAAGTTGATTGTAGATTGTAGATTTTTAAAGTTTTTTTAAATTCACAAATTCACAAAAGAACAAAACCAAAAGGGCAAGTGAAAACACATTTTTAAAACCTTGTCTCCTCTCCTTGCTTCCTTTCTGTTAGACAAATACAAATGATTCATACAAATTCAGATCTCAAAACAGTTCTATATCGGATCCACTCCTGCCAAAACAAGTACTTTTTATTTACATGAGAACGCTTGTGAGTAAAAACGACAGAATATTTGATCAGAAGTGCCTTTCGTTTAGACGGTGATGGTGTTTTTGGGGCTTAAAAAGTAAAAAATCTGAAACCACCCTCCAGAGTGGAAAAGTTGAATACGCTCTGCTGTAGTGTTTTCATCTACACTGGCCAAGATGCAAAACTCTGGTCAGATCTGCTCACGTCGCGTAGATGTTTACCTCACATACAACACCACCGAGCGTCACCGCCGAGCGTCACCGCCGAGCGTCACCGCCGAGCGTCACCGCCGAGCGTCACCGACGAGCGTCCCGACGAGCGTCACCGACGAGCGTCACCGAGCGTCACCGCCGAGCGTCACCGCCGAGCGTCACCGACGAGCGTCACCGCCGAGCGTCACCGACGAGCGTCACCGACGAGCGTCACCGACGAGCGTCACCGACAAGCCGTCTGGCATCATAAACAGTTCAATTCCACACACTTTTGCGTCGCCGTATGCACGCAGATTTCCTCCCGAAAATGCTCATCTAAACATGGAATAAAAAGTGAAGACATGACACCACTTTTACGTCTTCTGTTCAGACCCTTATCGTATAATTGTGAGTCTTTCCATCAAAAATATCTGATAAACCGTATTATATGACTCTTTTATTACTGGTACTTCCGTTTGAAGCCATATTCTTGTCAATCTTTTCTTTGCTGTCAATAAAATAACCCTTTGTCCGCTACTGTAGAGACGTTTGGAATCTCCTGGCCTAAGTACATATGTAGGAAGTCAGAGGGAATATCAAAGCCAAAAATATTTAGTAAACATTGATGAAGCTCTTGCCAAAAAGGAATGATTTTTGGGCATGTCCAGAATAGATGATAATAATGGGCTTCTGAACTTCCGCATATTCTCCAACAGCCAGCTTCTACATTTGGTGCCTTTTTTGAACTGGGGAAACAAAAACATGCAAATTCCTTCCAAGTTAATGAACATGTGGATTTCCATTGAATTTTACATAACAGTTCCCAGTTCTTATCATCCACCACTGAGTCCAATTTCTTTTTCCCATTTTCCTTTAACATAAAACGTGTTTTTGGATGTGTTTTCTTGAAAACCCTGATATAACCTTGAAATAACGTTCAAAATCATATTAGTGTTATAACCCAATTGAAATGCAGTTAAAATTTGACTACCGTATTTTCCAGACTATAAGTCGTTCCGGAGTATTTTCCGGAGTAAAAGTGCAATGAAGAAGAAAAAACATATATAAACACCGGACTATAAGTTACACTTTTTGGGGAAATGTATTTTGTAAAATAAGAGATCAGGAACCGACATTTCATCTTGAAAGGCAAGTTTTAGTAATAACAACAGAATAGTCATTGAAGTTCAGGCTTTTTTGATTCATCCCAGTGACTTCCAGGAAAGTTACATGGTGCACCCTCCTGATTACCGTGAAGGTGTATTCCCCCTCCCTGCTTTACGACACTCAATCACAAGTTTCTCGCTCACTCCAAACTTTCTTTCTGCTGCTCAATTACCATTTTCAGCTGAATATTTCACTATTTGCAGCGAGACGGTGGATATTTCTACAGGAGACATGCGCAGTAGAGTGCAAAGTGACAGTGGTACAGGAGTAATAGTAGTACTAGATACTGACACATGAGCTTAGAGCGCCCTCTTGCGGCTGTCCAAAAATTTTAATATATAAGTCGCACAGGAGTATAAGTCACAGGACCATCCAAACCAGGAAAAAAGTGTGACTTATAGTCCGAAAAATATGGCATCCTTTTTCTTTGTATTGGCCCTTGATATCTTATTAAATCTGTTTCTCATCTGAAAATACCTAAAGAAATCTTCAGTCCTTAAGCCATGTTGCTCCAGTGTTTTTAACCTCACACACTTTCACTACAATCATTTGGATCATTTCGGTCCTGGAACTGCCAAAATCTACTGAACTAAAGATAAAAGGAGCTTGAAAACCATCTCTTCATGACATCACAAGGTGGAACTGAGCATTTTGAGCTTTGGAGATGTAGACAAACGGATTATTCAGACATGTGTGAATGAAACAGGTCTGTTTTTGAGGTTATAAAACAACATTATAACACGGCAGAGTCAGTGTGTGTAATACAGGACCTTAAAGTGTAGTTTTTATAAAGTGATACCGAGTTGCATGTTTACTTGTTTACTTGTTTACTGGATTGCATGATGAACTACTGTCATTATTGCTGTAATGTTGATTTTATTGTATTTATTTTCTTTATTTTAATGAATTGAAATATGTACGTAAGCTCAGGGCAAGCTCTTCAGAGGCCAGTATTATGCACTACGCAGTTTGAACATTTGCACTGGGATTAGGGATGGACGCTCTATCAATATATTGAGATTTCTTATATTTATACCAAATTTTATTTCGACAGATTAAACTACAGAAGTGATATCAGCAAAATACACATTGTTATAATTAATTTTTTTGACAAAAGGGACGTTAAAGATAATTACAACTTCCATTTGTGGGTCTTGCTATAGATTTTAAATAACGTTCTACTTTGGTCCCAGCCTTTTGTGTGTTTTAGTTGAAGCTACTCCCTCCTAACAGTAGTTCATGTGTTTACACGTTGCTATGGTGATGCCATAGGCTGTATAAAGAAGTGGACTAAGGGAGTGTGACGTCACCCTCAGTGTTCAGATCCAGTCAAATAAAGCTCACGAGGCTGGCAGTTATAGTAGGGAATTTGGAGCCGAGTTATAAATTAGGAATAGAAAAGTATTTACAGACAAAACTGAAATAAAAACACCAAAAACCACCAAAAATAAATACGGACATTGTAAGACCAACATGAGGAGTCTGACAGCGGCAGTCACAGAGAGTGCGGTGATATTTTTTTTCAATACAAAGTGAATTGGAACCGGAGCTGATGGAGTCGGGAGCACCCCTATGATCACCTCCTGTTTGAACCTCTGTGGCCGCAGGTCCAGAGCTCAGAGCAGCAGTGGACTGTGGATTAAAAAAGTTCATCTTATATATCATCAAGAATTTCAGACTTCCGGTCATTGCGCAGTTCATACTGGGAAGGATTTTCTGAAAAAGTGAACATCAAACCTCCATGTTTGTTTTCCCAGTGGGATGTGTCTATTGTCAAAGTCGATCTTTTCAAGTCTTTTGAACCATATCACTTTTGTTTCTGGTTCTGATATTGTCATATTTTAGTTTTGGGATTCAGATATCGTTAATTTTGTGGTTGTTGGATCCTAACAGCAGAAAACAACTCGAGAAATGTGTTTGCGAACTCCATAAATGCAAAAGTGAATCAGATGTGTGTGACTGCAAACCTCTGTTCAAACTGTTTCTCTTCCCAACGGAATTGAAAAATAGTGAAAGATGAAGGTGATGGGCAGGATTGATCCACAGGAAACATGAAAAAAGAAACATTTGACTGCCTAAATCATCCCGAGTTTGCAGAGAATATTTTTGTATGTGGAGCACCATCAAAGCAAAATCCTGATCCCTCGCTCCACCTCGGTTACAAATTTAAAAAGTCAACGCCAAAGTGAAAGGCACCAGCTGTTCACCAAGAAACAACTTCCACTGCAAAGAGACCAAGACGTGATGTTGCTGTAAAACCACAAGAACAAGAAAAGTGCAGCTCAGTCTGTTTGTCTTCTGTACCTTTTGCTTTAACAAACGGGATCCTGCTTTGATGGCTCCACATACAAAATCTTCGTTGCAAACTTGGATGATTTCTTAGGCAGTCAAAAGTTTCCTTTTTGGTCCTTCCTGTGGATCAATCCTGCCCATCGCCTTCAACTTTCACTATTTTTCAATTCCGTTGGGAAGAGAAACAGTTTGAACAGAGGTTTGCAGTCACACACATCTGATTCACTTTTGCATTTATGGAGTTCGCAAACACATTTCTCGAGTTGTTTTCCGCTGTTAGGATCCAACAACCACAAAATTAACGATATCTGAATCCCAAAACTAAAATATGACAATATCAGAACCAGAAACAAAAGTGATATGGTTCAAAAGACTTGAAAAGATCGACTTTGACAATAGACACATCCCACTGGGAAAACAAACATGGCGGTTTGATGCTCACTTTTTCGGGATTCGAGATTCTTGATGCACGTATAAAAGGTTTCACAGTGCAACTTTAAGTTGACTCTTAAGGCAGTCTGTGCTGCGAGCTCAAAGACTCGACGTGTCTTAAATGCAGTTCATGCTTAAACTGGTTTGGCCTCTACAACATGTGGGCCACACAGACACAGCCCTGATGTTGTTTTGTTTTTACCCAAACTTAATTGGAACATCCAAAACACTGCAGATCAAACAGTGTCTGCTGCAGGACAACAGCTTTTCACTTTGCATTTTTCCAATATGCACTTTCCCAAAGACTCAGGTCCAAACAGTCACAAGGAGAGTTTTCCAAATACACTTTATGGCCTCATGTGTTTCCTGTCCTCTGCGCTTCTGTTCATGTGTTTTATGCTGCAGAATAAATGATCTGAATGGAAAAGCCGGTGCTTCTGTCTTCACTGTCAGTATGGGACATTTGATCAGGACTAACCCCAGTTAAACCTGTTATCAGTGTGTAACATATGAGAGGTGAGTCAGTTCATCCGACTGTCACGAAAATGAAACAGTAAATAATGAGAGGCTATAAAAATACGAGAATGTCGATGCACTGACAGCACCTGGGCCCTGGCACCAGAAGAGCAGGTCCACAGTTTCACATGTTTCACACGTGCTGTAGAGTGAAGCTGCGCTCAGAAACACTCACAGGAATTTATGTCAGAAATGTGTAGTTCACTGTCTCCTCTCTGTCTGTCAGCTTCATCTCCAGCTGCTTTAGTTGTGAGAACTGCTGACCCAAGTGAGAACAGAGTCAAGTACAGACTCAGTCATAATCCACTGTGGCCTGTTGCCCCATTTTAGTAACAAACTTTATATTTATATAGCACTTTTCACACACATTTGTCACAGAGATGCTTTACAGATCATTATTCATTCTCTCCAGACCCAGTGGTGGTAAACTACTACTGTAGCCACAGCTGCCCTGGGACAGACTGACAGAAGAATGGCTGCCAATCAGCACCATCAGTGCCTCTAACCACCACCAACACTCCCACACACACACCACTTTCACACACGCACTGTGGGTGAAGTGTCTTGCCTAAGGACACAACAACAGTTTTTGTGACTGGCGTCCCCCTGTGGCATCTGGTTTTCCCAGAGGTCTCCCATTCAAGTACTAACCAGGCCCAGCTCTGCTGAGCTCCTGAGATGTGACGGGGTAAGTCTTTGACAAGCCGGTATGTCCACATACATGAGCTCTACACATGAAGTGAGGTGAGTTTCCTTGAGACAAGCCGGAAATACATTTAAGTCTAATTTAAAACTAATTAGCGTGTACTTGCATGTGCTATTACTGCAGGCTTGTATCTCCACAAACCTGGCACTTATTTGGCCTGGAGGAGGGTCTCCTCTTGTTGTTTCATGGAAATGTTGTTCCTGTGGCTTTGATATGGCAGCTATTCCCAAAGTCTGCAGTGTTTAAACTACATTTTTTAATAAGTATAAAATATAATATAATTACATAGGTTTAATACTAATATAAAGTAGATAAAGTAGTAAAAGCAGGCTGGGCCTGGGTAGTACTTGGATGGGAGACCACTGAGAATTCCAGTGCCACAGGGGGGCGCCACTCATAAAAACTGTCATTGTGTCCTTAGGCAAGACACTTCACTCACATTGCCTAGTATGAAAGTGGTGTGTGTGTGTGTGTGTGTGTGTGTGTGTGTGTGTGTGTGTGTGTGTGTGTGTGTGTGTGTGTGTGTGTGTGTGTGTGTGTGTGTGTGTGTGCGAGCGTGTGTGTGTGTGTGTGTGTGTGTGTGAGTCATGGTGGTGGTCACCCCTCTGACCGATGGTGCAGACTGGCAGCCTCGCTTCTGTCAGTCTGCCCCAGGGCAGCTGTGGCTACAGTAGTAGTTGACCACCACTGGGTCTGGACTGAATGAATAATGATCTGTGAAGTGCTTTGGGGATCTTGAAAGGCACTATATAAATGCAATCATTAAATGTAAACAAATATAGATGTAAAGATGATTTCATAATTCTAGTTTAATTTATTTCTTCTTTCAGAACTTTTTGCTCCTTGTGTGTAAACCTTTGGGGCCCCTGCAGTGCCCAGGACCCCACTTTGGGAATCACAGCATAAAACTGTCCATTTATCTCCATGTTCCAATGTTTCTTTTGAATTGTCTAAGTTTATTTATACAACTATACAAACAGACCTAGACTTATAAAAAATAGGCCTATATTCGAGCTCTATAGAATGATGATTTATGTTTTATATATTTATATATACATTTAGACTATCAGATAATGATGTAGTTACAGTATTATTGTACTACAGGTGTAGTACTTCTGAAGGAGACGTGAGTCCACAGTAACCTGCTGCTGTTTAGGAACAGTAATAACAGTAACAACAGTGCACTTCAGTGTGTTTAACACCTCCATGAACCTCCATGGAGTCTTTTATTTTGACACGGTGGCGTTAATCCCGCCGCTCGCAGTGATCCGGGCCCCGGCCTCTGCTCTGCTCTGCCCCGGGAGGACGCGCAGTCAGCTGGATCGTAGGGGAGGTGTAACCGGCGCCTTATCACCACTTTTCGGGGGAGGGAGGTCCCGAGAGCGGGCGGTCCGTGTGAGAAAACACTCCACCAGCTCCGGGAAGTCACCCAGAGCGGCTTCAGCTCAGCGGAAACGAGGCAGAGCTCCGGCCGTGCGACAGGTGCCAGCGAGCGGCAGACACACTCAGCTCCCCCCGGGCACGACCAGACTAAGTTGTGGGTAAAAAAAGAAAATAAAAATCTATCAGAAGCATGTCGAATCTCAGACCTAGGCGTTGTGTGCTGGAGAAGGGTCCGGACGGGTACGGCTTCCACCTCCACGGAGAGAAGGGGAAGACGGGCCAGTTCATCCGGCTGGTGGAGCCCGACACCCCCGCCTCGGCCGCCGGGCTCCTCGCGGGGGACCGGCTGGCCTTCGTCAACGGGGAGAGCGTGGAGGGGGAGAGCCATGCCCAGGTGGTGGCCCGGATCCGAGCGAGCCCCGGGAACCTGGAGCTCATCGTGGTGGACCAAGAGACCCTGGAGCTGCTCAAGAAGCACGACCTGAAGTGCCAGAAGGAGTACGTGACCGAGGGCATCCCCGTACCGGGCAGCAGCGGCGGCGGCGGCGGCGGGGACAGCGACGCGGAGAGGGCGGACACACACAGCAGCAACGGGAGCCGCAGGGGGTCCAGCCCGGTGCCCCGCCGCAGGAGAACGGGGACAGGGCTTCGCAGAGGTCCAGTGTGTCCAAGGTACATGAAATACACTCATAGTACTAGACAAATGTTCTATAAGCTTCTTTAGTCGCTTATTTTTGTTTTACATTTATAGTCTACTGGTGGTTTTCAGATTCTAGAATGTGATGTCATGGAGGAAGAGACAGTTTTAACTTTTCCTCATGTTTAGTTTTTTTTTTTTTTTTTTTTTGGTACTTTGCCATGAAATAACCAAAAGATAAATTCACAAATCTGACCAGAAGTACACAGCAAAAAGTGGAGTGTTAAAATTGTCTCTCACACAGAGGCGGCGCTAACATTAAGCAACAGTAGGCAGCCGCCTAGGGCCCCCAAACTTGGAGGGGCCCCCAACGATTCGTCCTCAGCGCCACTAATGGCCGTGGCCTCAGAGTAATTTGTTTTTCTCTCAATAAGACGTTAAATGAGAGTATTTTACTTTTAAACAAGAAAACACCATCAAAATAGAATCTGATTGTCAAATCGATTTTACCTGTCAAAGCATCCCCCCATTTCATGTTAGAATGAACGAGTCAGCTTGACCCTGATTTGAACATAATCAAAGAAAAATAAATACATACATACAAAATTAATAAAAAATCTAATAAAACTACTTTCAGGTTTGGTTATGTAGGCCACCTAACTAATAAGACAAGTTTCCAGTCAAAACTAATTCAAATATCTATATCTATAGATAGATATAGATATAGATATAGATAGATAGATAGATAGATATAGATATAGATATAGATATATAGCTATATATCTACAAAAAACAGAAACTGTGCATTATGGTGAAAGCCCCAAACTCAACTTTGCCTTGGACCCTCAAACTGTTAACTCCACCACTGCTCTCACAGACTCAGTTTGAACATTTTCTCAGGGTTTATATGAGTCCAATCTGTTCTAGAGTTAATTTTACATTTTTAATTAAGTAAAACTGGACCAACGTTCCTGTTTAACCCCAAAATCAAGAGTTATAGTAATGTTTTGAGAGTAAATAGATAACACTTTGTAGAGTTATCCAGATTTAGCTAAACAACACACAGAGAAGTTTCATTTTTACACTTTATTTGAGTTCATTTAAGATAAAATTATGTACAAAACTGGTTCAGACTGGTTTTCTCTCACAGGAGTTTGATGTGGTGTGTGGGAGTAGAAAAATTAACACTAAAGGAAGTTAAATGAACACTACTAGAATTTGAATTCACACTAGGGGAAGCTGAATTCACTTCAGCCATATCAACTCTAGCAAATAACTCCAACTCCAACCCCCATGTAACTTGCAAATAGTTAAAAAAAACACCTTTTGTGTTCAAAATAACTCTGACATATTTCCGAATAAAATTTTAACTCTCCAGTTTTTGCTGTGTATGGGGTAAAAAGTACTGCCTAAAGTACCCTGTTGTATATTTTAGTTTTATATCCTATGTCTTAAAAGTGTATTGGTGATTAGAGAGATATTAAAGGTGTTCTGGGACTTTTCTGGTGAAGATTCATTTACACCAATAACAGTTTAGTTCTAATAAACAGTTAATAACACTTCAGCTGTATTAAAAGGCTCATACTTGGCTGTTCTCTTATCTGTGTCCTAATGGAGTTCCCTCATCACAAACAGACCTGGAGTTGCTTCATTCACATGTTTAACACACAAACCCTGCACATTTAGGCCAAATTCTCCCCTCAAACAGAAACACACTGTGATGTCATCAAGTGGCAATACAGGAAGTACTCCACTGTGTTTTTTTAAACTCCATACACCATCATTTGAATCATTTGGATCATATCAGTTTTGGAATTGCCCATCTCTACTGAACAGGAAGTAAAAGGTAACTGCTAACTTGAAAACTACCACTTCATGACATCACAAGGTGGAACAGAGCATTTTGGGCTTTGGAGATGTAGACAGAGTCATTCTTAAACAACTCCAGATACGTTTTTGACGAGGCAATATAGAAATGTTAAAGTATCAGTTTTAAGCCTTCAGATTGAACCTTAGACTGTGTAAAGAAGTGTTCTGCTGCAGTCAAATGAAGCTCATGAGGCCAGCAAAATAAAAACTGTAGAATCATGTAGAGCGGGTTAATATGAACATGAACTGGCTCCTATTTTTTCCAAATGAGGAGCCTGGTAGCAGCAGTTAGGGAGAGGGACAATGTTTTTTTTTTTTGTTTTTTTTTTTCAAAACAAGGTGAACTGGAGCAAGAGTCGATGGAGCCAGAAGTGCCCCCATTAACACTTCCTGCTATGTCCATTTGTGTTTTTTGTACAATCTATGGATTGGGCCTAATACATACCAAAGTCAGCTTTTGTGGGGTCAGTCTCCTGCTTGTGTCATGAAAATGCTATTGCTTTGCCTTGAATGTTCCACAATTTAAACTTGAAACTTAAACTTTATTTATTTAATTACGTGTGGGTTTTTTCATAGCCAAAAAATCAGTTTGGTTGATTTATCTGCTGTTTTAAGATATTTTGTGGAACTTTTCAGACAAAACAACATTAGAACATCAGATATCTTCGATTAGAAACACACCTAAAAGTTTCATCTTATCCCTTTAAGATATCCCAGTGACTAATATGTAACCGATCTATTTATTTTTAACTTGTACTTTATTGTCCCAGAGTACTTTTATTACTGCTTTATGGGCCATTGGTTCTGTGTTTTACTGTGTTTGGATATTTACTGGAGCTGAAGTGACTGAATCATTTCCCTTGAGGATCAATTCCATTCTCCGATTGTGAGTCTGATGACCGCAGAGGAAGAGTGAGGAAGAGTGAGGAAGAGTGAGGAAGAGTGAGGAGGAGTGAGGAAGAGTGAGGAGGAGTGAGGAAGAGTGAGGAAGAGTGAGGAGGAGTGAGGAACAGAGCACAGACTGTACTGGTTCATAACTGACATAATCATATTTTAATCTGTTTTTTACATGAGCCACTGTGTGTAATTGCCATGTAACGACTGACTGACTCCATCCTCCAAACCTGGCCTCAGTTCACATGTCACTGGTGATAATACACTAGATTTGTTTCACTATTGAAGCTTCCAGTGTTTAGACGGAGAACAGTCTCTGTCGTTCTAAGTGTTCTGTCGTTCACAGAGGAGCTGAATCTGTGTATCATTCATTCATTAGTTTTTCAGGAAAAAAAACAAAAGTTAGAAAACAAAAAAAACAACAGTTTTCTTCTTTATTTGTCTCTAAAACCAAAATGAAAAAACAGATAACGATTAGTTTTTTCAGTTTTTGATTTTGTGTTTAAATGAAAAATGGGGGAAAAAAGGATAATGGCCGTTTCCTGATTTACGTGACTTAAATTGCAATGCCAGACTGAACCAGGACTGAACCAGGACTGAACCAGGACTGAACCAGGACTGAACCGGTTTCAATCACAGTCTGGTCCTGGTTCAGTCCCGGTCTGGTCCCGGCCTCAGTCCTGGTCTCATTCTGGTCTGGTCCCGGCCTCAGTCCTGGTCTGATCCTGGTCTGGTCCCGGTCTCAGTCCCGGTCTCAGTCCTGGTCTCAGTTATGGTCTGGTCCCTGTTTCAATTGCGGGTCTGGTCCCGGTCTGGTCCTAGCTTTAGTCCTAGTCTGGTCCCAGTCTGGTCCCGGTCTCAGTCCTGGTTTGGTCCCAGTCTCAGTCCTGGTCTCAGGTCTGGTCTGGTCCCTGTTTCAATCACTGGTCTGGTCCCAGCCTCAGTCCTGGTCCTGTTCCCGGTCTTAATCCCGGTCTCAGTCCCAGTCTCAGTCCTGGTCTCAGTCCCAGTCTAAGTCCTGGTCTCAGTCTCGGTCTAAGTCTTAATCTCAGTCCTGGTCTGGTCCTGGATCTGGCTTGGTCCTGGTTCAGTCGTGGTTCAATCCGGCATCACAGTCACGGAAGTCACAGAAACAGGAAACGGCCGTTATCCTTTTCTTTTTTCCATTATTCATTTAAGCACAAAATCGAAAAATGAAAAAAACGAATCATTATTTGTTTTTCTCATTTTGTTTTTGGAGACAAATAATGAAGAAAATAGTTGTTTTTTTCGTTTTCATATTTTTGGTTTTATTTTGAAAAACGAATGAACGAGTGACACATGGATCGAGCTGTTCTGTCCTCTGTCTGTCACTGCCATGTGGAACTTTATTCAGCAAAAAACATCACATTTCATGCAACGTTGGTAAAGTTTCTTTTGCGTGTATAAAAAGGCAAAGTAGAAAGACTAAAACCTCAGAGCCAAAAAGTCCCCAAAACTGTAAGAATTCACCTCTTACGTACTGTTAGTTACTAATACTTACTGTCATTAAATCACTATTTTAAGTCACTTAGTCATAGGCCTGTCGTGATAAATACTATGGACTCATCGTTCAATATATGACATATGGAAGAGAACTTTTTGGTTCTCAGTATTTATCATGGGTGCTTTTTCTAATTATTTTTTTCTTTTTTATGAGATTTGAGCTGCAGACCAGAGGTGTCAAACTCATTTTGGTCCGGGGGCCGTGTCCAACCTATTTTGATCCCAAAGTGTCCGGATCAGAAAACTCATGTCATATAAACCCCAAAAATAACAATAAATTCAAATATTTGTGCAGAGAAACACAAATCTACTACAGAAATCTTTTTTAATTGATGAACTCATTAACAAAATATTATAATATTATGAACAACCTGAAACTTTAAGAAAAATACAATTTCAACACAATGTTTTAACATGAACTTGTATGGAAATAGGAATTAAATTTTTGTTGTAAAATCCTGCACTCGGCTCCACTTTTCTCATGTTGGACATTTTTCTGATGAGGGTGTCACGGTCAACAGTCAAAACGATCGTCCTTTAAGAGCGTTTGGAAAGAGACAAGTCTTCATTTGTGCTGCTCTGGTGGGAGGGGCCACGTACAGAGACGCTGGAGACGCTGCTGTGATAAACACCACAGAAAATTAACAAGATTTTAATAGAAAATATAATTAAAATATTTTAGTAGAAAATCAGCCGAGGGCCACATTAAAGGTCTTGGAGGGCCGGATTTGGCCCCCGGGCCGTATGT